TTCCTACAGGATTCAACATGGCAGAAGAAGCTGCCAAAAAGTTTGGCTCACTAGCCACTCTAGAGGCCGTCAAGGCTATACAGGTACTTTTTCCTCGTTTTTTTTTTTCAGTGTTTCAATTTTAAGTATTTTTGCCATTTTATGTTTATTTTTTTGAAGTTCGAAATGTTATGAGGTAATATAATAATTCTTACTACTGTGGTGGCTTTTAGGTTTTTTTATTCCTTATGTGAATCTCAAAACAAGCCAACATGGGTTCGAGCAGCACATACAATTGGCTTACATTTTTTGGAAACGTCAACGCTGTTGCAGGAAAGCACGAATGTTATGGCATCAGATAGAAAAGGAGAGCGAATGGAAGTGGATCCAATAGAAAGCCAACACGAAGCTGAGTTACTGGCAGAATTTGAGCGGAGAAGGCGGGCGAGGACACTTACGCTACCGACCGATGATGTTCAGGTTCTTTTTTACTTTAAAGCCTCATATTTGTATGTCCTCAGTTTAAGTTTGTTTCAGGTCAAATTGAAGCTAAGAAAGCTGAATCAGCCGATATGCTTATTCGGAGAAGATATTCTGGATCGGAGAGAGCGACTTCGTGCGCTTCTGTCTACAATGTCAGAGGATGAAGTGGCAGCTATACTACATACTGAAGAGGTAATCTTACACTGTCGTGCAACTTTACTTTTTCCACAAATTCTTGAAGCAATAGTAGTACCTGCCTTTCAAGAACCTTCCAGAAGTTTGACTTTCGTTTAATTTTTTTATTTAAGCTCATGATCTCCTTCTAGGGTTTCGTAGAAAAGCCGGATGAAGAGACAACCACGTGGTACCATCGCGGACCGATGGCTCTTCGAGCAGCTCGAGTAGCAATCGCTGACTTTTCATTGCGCAGAGCTAAGGAAAGGTGCAGAAATGTTCATTATGATGTAGACTTTATTATTTCAATTTTGAATCTCGGAGTTCGGCATATATCTGCTCCCCAGGCTTGCACGTGCCCGTGAGAATGCTGCGCGACCACCGCACGAGAAAGCTCTAGCACGCCAAGAGGCTCATAAATGGATCCAGCAGTTGAACCTTCATGCTTCCCAGGTGGCAGACAGTCGACCTGTTGCGTACTGCGAGTTCTCACCAGACTCAGAGCATATCGGTTGGTTCATTCAATGCTTGCTGAATATCCATTGTCGTCTCAGTAGAAATTGTTTCAGTAACGGCTGGATGGTCAGGGCAGCCTTCTGTATGGCGGAGGGATACTTGTGAACGGCTAATACGTTACACAGGGCACCAGTCACAAAATGGATGCGCCAGATTTCATCCTCATGCTTACGTGTCAGCAGATTCGTCCTCACTGAATGTAGCCAGTTGTGCTCACGATGGTAAGTATAAGCAAACTAGGAGTAACAAGGATCAAAATTAAAGTTTTTTAGGAACCGTATATTTATGGTCACTAGATAGCGAAAAGCCCATAGGCGAACTAGAAAAGCATGAAGCTCGCGTTTCTAGGCTAGCCTTTCATCCGAATGGTCGACATCTTGCTACAGCTTGGTAGGCTGACGTATAATATATATACGACAATTCTCAAATTCTTCCCTAATTTTCAGTTACGATTCTTCTTGGCGAATGTTCGACGTTGAAACCGGAGAAGATTTATTGTTCCAGGAAGGACATGCAAAGGTATAGAGTTTCAGAATATACATAATATTAGTATATTTAAAACAAATATTATTGCCCTCTTATCATTAATTCACGCCCGAGTAAACCTAGCAATTATTTTAGTCTGTAGCCGATGTTGCGTTCCATCCCGATGGTTCAGTGGCTTTAACAGGAGGACTGGACTGTTATGGGCGAGTGTGGGATTTGAGAACTGGAAGGTGTATCATGTTCCTGGACGGACACACGAAGGAGCTGCATACAGTCGATTGGCTTCCCAACGGGCTAGTATTAGATTTTATCTTTCAAAATGTCATCTTGGATTCTAAAATGATTGTTGTCATTTGCTTCACCGCACAGGTGCCAAAGTGTATTGGCTGGCACCCCTGCAAACTTGTTCTTTTTTTGGCCTAAATAGGTCACACAACTTGCAACAGAAAATTAAGGCGAAACTTGCCAATTGCAAACTTTGAAATAATCTTGGGTGAATGTTTCAAAGGATAGTAACCATTTAAGATGCTCGGCAGCTATACAATACGGAGAAGTTTTTTTTACATTTGATTCGCACGTATTCATATAGGTATCCCTTTTCAGGTATGAGATGGTAACAGGCGGCGCAGATAACACAATCAAAGTATGGGACTTACGTA